CGCGGCGAGTAAAGCAACGGGAACAATGAAATGTGAAGTACCGTAAATGAGAGCAGAAGAAGAGGAACATTTCATCCGATGAAGCGAGGACTGTAGGGGGAGGGGATGGTGGTGGTCATTGGGGTGGGGGGGGGATGCGAACAAGAGAACAAGACGGGAGAAAGATCAGTCCTACAGAATGAATTACATTGAATGTGTGTGAGTGGGTGGGTGAGTGTGTAGAGGTTATGTTGAACGAGAGAGAGAGAGAGCGTAGTTACCGAAGCAGTGATGAGGAGAAAGCACTAGTGAGAGGAATCGATTCGGCAACGAATCAGTTCATACGATGAGTTTAATCGTCCATTCGTTTTTCATTTCAATGTTTCGGCTGTTTTTGTTACTGTTTTGCCTTGTTGTTGGTGGTGGGGATGGTGATTGTGACAGTTGTGGTTAATAAAATTATCAATGAACTGCGTGCGGATCGATATTACTCGTTGAGCAACAGAGTTCAGTTAAATGATCTTGTTGCAATTTAATTTTCCCAAGGCTTGTTATATAGGGACTTTGATCAAACTACGGCATCCATACATCAGCAGCAGGAGCAGCAGTATCATCGGACATATTACTCATGGAATCAGGGCAAAAGGGAATCGTGAATTTATGAGAGGAGACTGGAGGGAGAAGTGAGTGTAAGAATTCATTTAGTAACTTCACTGACTGCAGTGTTCACCAGTAATCGATCGATCGAATTTCTTCCTCCGACTTCAGAAGAACTCTGTGGTCCAGTTGGTAAACTGGCCTGTTTATGGCCCATTATTATTATTATTATTGTTATTATTATTATCATTATTATACATCGTGTGTCAGAAGATACCTGTTCTTAAGATGATATCAAGGTGTGTGTCCACGCTTAGTCGGAATAACTGTTCATTGTACAGGTCGTATCTTCAGGAGACCGTAGCAACTAATCCCACAGACACGCTCATATGCATTCAATGTTATCAAGTGGTCCGTAAACTACATGCAGTGGTCATGAGTATGCGCTGAGAGTTAGTCGAATTTCATGTCAGATTGTCTGATAAGTACGCGTGATGCTGCCCTGTTGCTGTTGCTTATGATCACGAGGGTGATGGTGATCATGATTCCGGTGATGACGATACACCAGATGATATGGTGGGGCAAGGTTTAACTTTCTCGTAAATACAATTTTCCGGCATGATTAAGTCATTCCCGTTCAAATTAGCACATACTTCCGAAAGCACTCTTTTGTATGGACTAAATCAGTTATACTGCTTAGGAAGCAACCTCAGTTCGAAGAGCCTCGAGTCGCCACGTTGTCGAGTGTCCAAAATTGCCGGTGTAGTAAAATGGAGATACTGACCACGTTCGTTTGCTCAACTTGACTGAGCCAAATGTTTGAAAGGATGGATTTAAACA